GAAATGCCTTAAAGGGCATCTAGGCTGAGAGAGCTGGGTGGCCCCTTCCACCTTTGAGGGATACTCTGATAGGTTCTTAGAGCCGTGTTGCACAGAGCCCTTAAAGCCTCACTGCCTGTTTAACCACAAGAGGGTGTTGGTGCATCGATTGAGATGAAATGACCTGCAGGAAGTTGGCAGGCCTGAGAGAGCTTCTTTTGTGTATCCAGGAGCTGGAGAATGCTGAATTCATCCCCATGCCTGACAGCCCCTTTCCTCTGAGTATGGCATCTTCAGAGCCTGAGAAGGAGACTCTTCCTTACCAGAAACTTCAAGGACTCAAAGTGGCCCCTGAGGAACCCGTTGGATTAAACAAGCCCAAAACAGAGCCCTGGGTAATGTTGTCAAAGTGAATACTTGGCTAAAAGCTCTTGGGGACCATAAATGGCAATGTTTGAATTATGGGGAGAGCTGAGAAGAGACTGTTGGATAGGCCTAATTCATCTGGATGAGGAAGAGAGGGCTGGTGATAATCAGAGATGATGCTGCAAAGAGAAAAATTCTCAAGGATTTTTTGGGAGTACAAAGCTGATTCTTGGTCAGATTTAAAGTAATGAGATCAGTTCTGTGGGAAAATGTGTATAATGCAATTGGAAAAAAAGAGAAGCTGAGGTCTCAGAAGCCTAGCAGAAAACAGAAATTTAGAAAGCAGAGATAGGAAGAAGAATTGATACAGAAAATAAATGAGAAATTGCAACCTGTGAGACTACCTTCAGGAGACTTCAGGAGTTTTCTGTCCCAAGGGAGGCATGGATCCTACACTTAGAGAAATGGGGGTAAACTGTATGGATTTTGGTGCTAGGAGGACAGGAACAGCCTTCCCAGGAAAAGAAGGAAGCTAGTGGCTTTGTACAGAGGACAGAAGGAGAAGTATCTTGTTGACCCTGCCTACTAGAAATTTGGCAAGTCAGGGAACAAGCTGGGATAACACTCTGGGTGTGGTTTTTTTTCTTGTGGCATGTACAGCTCCTGGCCTTGCACTCAAACCTGGCCTGCCTTCCTTCCATGTCCCTGCAGCCTACTTGCTTGAGTCCAGCCTTACCATGTGGTGAAGGGAAGGATGCATCTCCCAGTGCAGGCTGCATGTGCAGTGCTCTGCAAGTGGAGGTGACACACCTGCGAGGCCTGGTTTTACAGTGTCTGGATGATCAGAAGAAGCTGCAGCAGGAAACCCTTCGTCTGAGTGCCCAGCTCCAGCGGTTCTGCAGGAGGATGGAGGAAATGCAGCAGGTGAGAATCCGTCATCTGGGTGCACATCCGTGCTCAGGGCTCACCATGCTCCTGCAGATTGTGGAGGCTGTGCAGAAGAGAACAACTCTCAACAGCCATCTCCATCAGAACAGAATTTGGTGGGACTAAGAAAGATGCCTGTTTCTTTTATAAGCTGCTGATGCAGGCTCTGGTAGTAGCAAAACAGGAATGAAGAGTTTCCTCTGAGGACAGCCCACCCTTTGAGGACTTGGGATTTCCCTTTATTTCTCTTGATGAGAAGTGATGGTCAGTCATATGTTGCAAAGAGTAACTAATGGCTGTGGAGAACACAAACTGGGCCTTGTGCAGCTTCTAGCTTTTGTGCAACTTGTACTGGTGCTGTTTGGGTAACTGCTGTGTGTTTTGGCAGGTGAAGGTTCATTCCAAAGGAACACAGACAACCAAAGAGGAGATGGAAGTGGATCCAAAACCTGATGTGGATTCAGATTCCTGGTGTCTCCTGGGAACGGACTCGTGCCGCTCCAACCTCTAGTCTCCTGAGCCCACTGGGATCCATCTAACTTCACAGCACACTAACCGAATGCAGAGAGCGGCTTTTCTGGCGTCAGGTCACTCGCGGACAAGGAGCGAGGCCGGAGGCTCCAGAGCAGCACCCATGTACGTTTGATATGAACTAGGAGTGAGTTTGAGAGGGGGAGGGCCCTTGAGCTCTAGGCCAGCTCAGTGATTGAAGCAGCAGCAGCTCCTCTTTGTACCTTACCTGTCAGTTCTGCACGTGAGGCAGAACGGCCCCATTATGGCGATGGCTCCAGTAGCAGCTTGTGGCCCTTTCATTGTTTCACTGTTTCCTGGGAGCTGCCTTTGGGACCCCAGTATTCATCACTGCATCTCTAGATGAGAGGAGGAAACATGTTCTGTGCTGAAGCTGGCTGAGCCCTAAGACTTGCCACCTTCACTTCAGAGGGGTGAAGGACTAGGATCCTCTCCTTACCACGTGGTAAGGCCCCGGCAGTGAGGCTGCTTCCCTCTGCTCAGGCGCAGAGGAACCAGCGAATGTGTCATTCTGGAGGCAGTGGAGATGTTCCTCTTAGGGAGAGCATGGTAGACAGCATGTCCCTGGCCTCGAGGCATAGCTTCTGGCCATATGGCTGAGTCCACTGGTCTGTATAGACAGAGTTTGAAGGCTTTATTCTGGGTGCTGAGGGCTTTCCAACTTCCAGGCAATGCACCAAGATGAGTGAATCGGGTGTTTCCCGTAGCAGTAGTGGGGACTGTCTGAGATTGGATCTGTAGTTCTTGGTTTCAGACACGTCTCCCAACCAGATGCCAAGCATCTGGGCCTCAGACTAAGTTACCCATTTCTTGCTCCAGCTGTTCAACTTGGTTTGAGTGCCAGAGTTTCTGGTTTCTTGGCATAAGCCTGTAGCTGCTCCTGCTTGGCTTCTCTTCTGCTCAGTCTCTGTGCCTACACTCTGTGTGGGTGTGGGAAAAATCCGTGTTTTTCCACTCAGTGTTCTGATGAAGCTGGAATGCCATTTCCTACCCAGAATACGTCACTACTGCTGTGATCTCAGGATGCAGCCTTCCCCAAAGACCATGAATGATCAAATCTTAGTCCAGAATTCACCTTCTTTCAAGAAGTGAGACGTTTTCCCAAGAAAACTGGAAATGGGAAGAGGCATGGTCTGATGCTCAAGATTTATTCATTTTCTAGAGAAAATGAATAAATGAGGTTAGAGAATGAGGTTAATTTTATTCCCCTTAAATTTATTAGCAAACTGACTTTGAAGTAAAGCTAATGGGATTGGTAGGATCCCTGGGAGCAGCTAGCCTCCCCTGCCTTACTTGGTGCCTCCAAGGAGTCCTAAGTTCCTCTCACCTTTGCTGTGAGAGTGGGGTTATGATTTCATCAGGTTTAAATGATCCCCATCGATGGCATGTTACTAGAATTGCCTTAGGTCTACTGGAGGTGAATATCACATCACCTCTGACAGGCTTCTTTGGAGAGACTATTCCGGGGAATCCAGTATTCCCCATTTGTCTCTAGAGGTGGATGCCAAACCATTTGCTCGTAACATAATGCTCCTTAAATACTTCTTTGGTGCCTATTGCTAGTATCTGGGAGCTGAATCAAGTGCTGTCTTCCTAATGCAGTGTCCAGGGCAAGAATCGTTCCAGAGTGCCTGTCCACTGCTGCCAGAAGCAGGGCAGGAGGAGAGCCCTCCTGGGAGGCGGTGAGAACCAGGTGCCCTGGTACAGCCAGGCTTGTTTGCCCTTGTGGCTCTGCTCTCCTTTCCCCCCTGTGCGTTGGAGCCAGTTCTCAGGTCAGGGTCCCGGCTTGAGGGTCGTTGGTCAAGTGCAACAGTGCCTTTGAGGACTGAAACGTCGAGCCTGAGCCATGTCCAAAAAGCAAGCACCAAGCTGATGAGAGTCGCTCTCCTGCAGTGCACTGCTATCCTCATTTCTCAATGCTCTGCAGTTGGGAAGCTAGGTGCACAGACTGGATTCCCCTTGGATCTGGTGGAGGATTAGGGCTCCTGACAGAGGATGCCCTGTGCTCCACAATCTCATATGTGCCTTAGAGGATTCACGCTATCCAGGTTGTGCCTGTTACAGACCACAGATTTCACACCAGCCAGCTATGCAACAAAAAAAAGCAGTTTAAAGGTAGCACCTTTGTCTTGGGCTGAAAATGGAAAGGCAGGCAGGCAGAAGTGCCTTTGAGCAGTTTCAAACCCTTTTTACTTCTCCCCTTCTTGCAGTGCTAGCTCCATATGTGTTGGTCTCCTGCTAGTATTGCTACTGAGTTGTTGTAGTGGAACACAACTTATGCCTGCTCTGACACTCTGGCTGAAAACTAGTTTGTCGTTGTCTTTCTTTGAAAGGTTAAAGGGTGGAGTGGTTTGGAATTTCTGTTTAAATAAATGTTTAAACTCATACTCCTGTGTTTGAACTCCTTTTCTTGTCTTTTTTTTTTTTTTTCCAAGAAAGGAAAGGGAAATATGCATACAGTCATCTGTTTTTTTGGCATTCTGGTTTTGGTTATTTTCTTTTGCTTATAGAAAGAGGGTGAAAGGGCTTTTAGATTCTTTGCTCTGGTTAAAAAAAAAGTCAGTTTCTGTGTCCCTTCATTAAAAGAAACCAACAACAACCAAACAAAAAACCCATTCTTTTCTCATACTGCTACGTCTCCTCCTAGTGACGTCAGGAGCTTGTGTGTGTGTGTTTATTTCCACAGTTTGAATGCCAAGTGGGGAAATGAGTAATGGGAAGAGAGGCTTAAAGGGAAGAAGTACCTGTTTTTCTCAGAATATCTTCACTGATCATTAAGGCCTACAGAAGGGAAAACCTGCCTGACACCTGCTCAGCCAACTGTTCCTGCACTGTCACTTTCATCAGAAACGGTATTAAATTGTGAAATATCTTGACAGGCAGAGCAGAGTTAAAGATTTAAAATCCACTAGAGATTTGGATGCTGAAAATGCAGCATGTCTCTCAGAGGGGGATTGTACTGCAGGAGCAAAAGAGGAAGCTGAGCTGTCATGAGTAACACAGCTTGAGTAGTGTCAGGGTAACTAACCATGATAGCAAAGCAGCACCCTAAATCTCTGTGCTGACCCTGATACTTGGTCTGACATATTACTAAGTTTTAAACCAGTTCTCAGAGACTTTCTGGATACTGAAACAATAGCAAGGAGGGGTGAGCTGCCTATCTTAGCTCCAAAACATGTAACAATGAAGCCTGGTGATTTAATTTTAATAGCTTTTATTTAATCTACAGTGTCAGTCTTTTCAATCTCAGCCATTTGCCTGTCAGTTATGAGAAGTCCCATGTGTTTATTTTACAGCATCAATGCTTTTTAGTGTGTATCCATGTGTCACTATTTACACTGCTGACCTTTAGGTTTACTAAATATAGTCAATAAAACATAGTGCAAGGAAAACAAAGTTAATATTAGAAGACAGGCAGTGGTGCTGAATTTTTAAACTAGTGTGTTCAAATCACTTGTTCCTTTCATGAATTCAAGGAGGTTGACATAAAGGTTTCAATTTACCCCTTTCCTACCTCTTGCTATCCTGTTTTTCAAAACTCTCAAGTAAAAGCATTGGTCTTGCTTCTCCAATCAGTTTGGATACAGTAAATTATTTTCCCTTCTTTTGAGTCTGCTTTTTCTCTCAGCGAGGAACTGAGATTTCTGCTCACATATCAATAGGACAGAAGCTCTCCAACCTCTTTCAGGAGTCAGGATCAGTCATTGTGGCTGGTTCACTCATTGAAAGCTGGAGTATTTCTTCATATTCAGCTTCTGACTGTTCCAGCTTAATCTAGTTGCTTTAGATCTTTCCCTAGGTTCCCATGAACTGCTGCTATTGCTACCAGAGGACTTGCAAAAGAAGCTTCTGGAGCTTTTTTATTCCTTGTTCGTTTCTTGTTGCAACTTTCTCATACAAAGTAGTCATTCTTACTGTGAGAACACAGACCACTCTGTGACCATTTAAAAGAACTTTTACACAAGAGAACTAGTTTAATACATTTAATAATCAGAATCTAGAAAAATACCATCTCAAGAAGAAAACAAGGGATATATTTTTGTCATAATTCCCTCCCATTGCAGCAACCAAGACGAAATAAGTAGATGACTTCAGGAAGGGTGAAAGCTTTGCTTTTAGAGGTTCCTAGCAACTTGGCCTGCAGGAAGAAAACTCCATTTTTAAAAATCTGTTTGTTATGGTTGTTCTGTTGCCTCACGGGCCTGGCTGATTCAGAGTATCCTTGTTCTATGCACATGAATTGACATAAGGATTTAAACAGCAAGTGTCTGCTATTGCTAGCTTTTCTAACCCCTGGAATTTCTGATCCTGAGCTTCTTATGCTGAGGAAAGGGACATCTTTTTTGGGGCAACCTAGGGTGCAGGTCAAAGTATACAATTTCTGTTTTTCAGCTGATTCATCCTGAGCTGTTCACTGGCTTTACATAGAAGCTTGCAGCCAGTATTGAGACTACAGAAAACACAAATGTGCATAACTGTGAATCTGGCAAAAACCAGGCAGGGAATCACAGCAGCAGATAAAGCTGGCACTGCCTCATCAGAGCCTCCTCTGTGGTGGAGGTGGGGGCCTATTCCTTATGTTTTTGCATTTGGGAATGTGCCTCTCAGCTGCTCGGGGAGCAAACTTTCGTCCGCAGTAGGTGCAGGCAACATAGTCTGGGTTGTCGATGGGAGGCAGTGGGGGCAGGCCTGAGACCTTGCTCCCCTTAGCGAGGGTTTGCTCCACCTGGCGGGCCTGTGACATGATGTGCATGAGAGCCTCGTGCTTCTGTTTCCAGTTGTTCTTTCTGGGTGGTGTTTTACTCTGCGGAAGGGAAAGGCAGTCAGGGCAACTGGGACCACCATCAGCCTCTATCCTCAGACTTACACTCAGAGCCCAACCAATGTCACCTGTCCTGTGCATTCCCTGTTGACATAAAACCCAGCCTGAGAGGGAGTCAGAAAGACCAGCACAAAGGAGGATGTAAAGGAAATACTGATGGAAACATCAGTATTTAGAAAGAGCTTCAGGATAACCAGAAAAGCAAGCAGTAGGGCCAAGGAACTAAAGAGGGTTGCTCCATCTCCTTTTCAGGAACAGAGCTGTCTGTTTCCACTGCCTTCATTAACAGATTGTGCTATTATCTGGATTTTCAGTCAGCTCCCTGCAGCCCCTGATGTCACAGAGCTTTACTGCAGCAGAACCACTCTGCATCCTAACTACAGCAAGGAAGTCAGCTTTCTCCAGTGGTACACCCTTGACACGTTACAAAGCCAAGTCAGGACTCCTGCCTCCATCTATGAGATTTTAAATGGATCTATTTATCCATTTGGCAAGAACCTTTCAGAGACAATAGCTGCATTGTATCCCTTAGCCCCAAGTACATGGGAAGGTGCTTGCACCTCAGTCAGAGGTTGAAGTGGAAGGAGTGGGAACAGTAGATGTGGATCCAGGGAGGCAAAGGGACTGCACTTTACCTGAGGACTCCTTGAGCTCTGCTGCTGCTGCTGCTGATACTGTTCCAGTTCTGTTCCCCTAGCTCTGGCCTTGCTAGAGTCAAACACTTTCCTCTTGGAGTCTTGGTTCTTGCCACAGATACTCATGTGTTTCTCAAGCCTTTCACAGAGAAACTTACGTTTGCAGAAGCTGCACTGTCCAAAGCCCTCCTGCTCCACAGCACTGGCAGCCTGCATGTGAGGCATCTCTGCAGATGGGTGGGCGTCACAATCTCGGTCTGAGAGAGCAGAGAGTGAAGGGCTCTGTTTGGGGGCCAGTTTTGAACAAGAAGCTAAATGCTCCGTGGGGATGTTGTCTTGTATTTTGCTGTTGTTTGTTTTGTTGTGTTTTGCGACCACCAGCCACTCCTTGAGGTTCCCCACAGCCAGTTCTTGGGGGTGGGGAGTGGTGCCAGGCTTGGGGATGGAGTCCTCTGCAGACTGTGCCCCGCTGAAGATCCCAACACCTGGCGTGTCTGCAGCTCTGAAAGTTTTCTCTTCAGGGTGCCTCATGGCCTTTTGCTCATGGGTCCTCTCCACTTCACTTTCTCTTCTCTTCTCTACCTTGATAAGCTCCTTCTCTCTTTGAATCCTCCTAAGTGTCTCCTCTGTCCTCTTTAGCTTCTCTCCAAGAAGGGCCTTTTTCTTTTGAATTGCCTCTTCTAGGTTCCTTCTATCTTCCTCCAGCTTTAGGATGTAGGCCAGCTCTCTCCTGCAGAGATGGAGAGCTGATGGTTCAGGCTGTCGTGTCCAAGGGCAGAGCACTGCAGCTAACTGAGATCTCCCAGCTGGAACCATCTCTTTGCTTATTGAGCTTGATTTACTATTTGGAGCTTCCTGCACGTGGGGGGAACTTCCAGTGCTGAGCAGTGGATCGCTTGCACTCTTGTGGTGAGAAATTGGTTGCAGGGGATATGCACGGTCCACTCCTTCTTTATGTCTGCCTAAGGACTTAGCTGACAGAGTGCAGGTCTGCTTGATGAGATACTTGCTCTCTAGTCCACCTGACTGAATGCCTCCATGCCTGGGCTTGTCCTGAGTGCTTTCTGCAGACATAGAGTAGGAATATCTTTGGTTCTTTTGTGCATAGAGATATTTTAAACTTTCCTCTTTGTCAAGTATGAGTCTACGCTGAAAGTTGTCCTTCTGGTATTTCAGTTGGGAACCAGGAGAAAATTTAGTAGCTTCCACCACAGGAGCCACCGGTGGAAAAAAATCCATTCAGTGCCTGAGAAAGAGCCTGAGATTAGAAGCTAAGCCATTACAAACAATTTTATCCAAAACTGGACAAATCTTCTCCTAACAGTTTATGCATGGATGCTGCAGACAGAGGTTATAAGTATTAGTAAAGGTTTTGTAACTTTCCTGCTTTCTATAAATCTTTACATTCCTTCCATCTAGGGAGTTTCCATGGTGCCTCTTCCAGTCCCAACCGTTTATGCAGACAGAAAGAAGACACGCTTTTATTTCTCTTTCTGTCTGAGCATTTCCTTACCATGGTAGCAACAGAAATATACTGCAATGACAGAGGAATTGTTATAGTACCCAGCCAGTTCCCCATAACGTGTCCCTTCACTTTGTCACACACATCTGACATGCAGGAGTCCGACCAAGCTCGGCACGATCTTCCTGTGGCTCGTTCCACCGCATCCCCCGAGGCGCGGCGGGGCGAGCGGGGTT